AATATGATCATCAGTATTCATGGGTCAATTGGAAAAGTATTGATTCAACAAAGTGAAACAGATCAGCAGCAGCTAACTCATCTATTCAATAAAAAGTATCAACTCTAACCCGATTTATTCAGATTATATAGCAGGTGGTGGATGATAAAATATTAAAAGCTTTGAATCAATGCCTACCAAAAAAATTTAAAGACCATAATTTTGTATACAGGTTACTATTTCCGATAATTCTTTAGGGAATTCTAGAGAAGAATTGGAAAGGTACTAAACAGCGATGCTTTATATTGAACATTTTTGGAAAGAAGCAAAATATGTGTTATATTAAAAAAATCAAGCAAGATCTAGGATTTATAAATTACGAAATTACTTATTAAATTTATTAAAGTTTTGATGTCATTCCTTTTGCAGTTTCAAAATTCGCAAATTTCACGTTCAAACATGACATAATCTGGATTATTATAAGATTTAATGTCATCATGAGGTGGATTATATAAACAAAGAAATTTTGTGAAATCATAATTTGTCAAATAATAGTTAAATTTATTATAAATCAAATAAATTTCTTTACTGAAAAAAAATACATCAATTTTCTTGATTTTTTAATTTTAATAGGATAATAATAATAATACTAATAATAATAATAATAATAATAGTAATAGTAATAGTAATAGTAATAGTAATAATGAATATGCTTCCACCAGTAACCGTACCAACTTTCCTTCAACCTGTTATTCAATCATGGGTTGCTTGGCTCTCGTTTACATTTATTGCAATTCCGGTTTCTACCTTTTTCTTGATTTGGGATTTCCCAAAATCTATTTGGCGATTGCTCTTCTCTGATTATCCTAAAGTTGTTCTGATTACTGGTGCAAAGTAAAAAAAAATTAGTTTAATTAAGTTACGTGTGTGTGTTTTGTTTTATTATTAATTAACGTTTATTTATAATAATACGATAATTAGTTCTGGTATCGGAGCAGAACTTGCACTTGCCTATGCAAGACCAAACACTACTATTGGACTTATTGCTCGTGATAAAGGCACAAATATATTTAACTTGATTCAATAAAAATTTTGTCTTTCTGAAATATAATTTTATTGATTTGTTCTTTTTTTTAAAAAAATAATCATAGATCGTTTAAACAATGTAGCAACAGCCTGCAAAAAAAAAGGTGCAACTATTCGCGTAATGTCTTGTGATATTACTAATCTGGAAGATTTAAATAGAAACATCGATGAGTTTGATGAAGCTAATCCGATTGAACTATTGATTGCAAATGCAGGTAAATATATCAATTTATTCATTTTAAAAAGAAATTATTGAATACGCGCGTACGAATAAAAATTGATTATTGATTGACTAATTAATAAATAGCCCAAATTGGCATTACAACTGATCAAGAATTATCCGATCAATGGGAAGATTTATGGCATAGGTATCGATCATTGCATTTTGAAAATATTGTCTAATATGATTAATATACAAATTCTAATGCTGTTTAATTTTTATTGTTAGGTATTTTGAGGTGAACGTCGTAGGTACATTGGCAACAGTTATGACAACATATAAAAAAATGCGTGACAGGGGAAAAGGTCAAATTGCAAGTAAGAAATGTTTTTTGATCATAATTTTTTTCTTTTACACAAAAATATATTTTAAAAAACCAAAAATGTTTATGTATATAAAAACATACAAGTTACTTCATCAATTGGCGGACATTTTTCAATGCCACAAATGATCTTTTACAATTCAACCAAAGCAGCGCTGATTTCTTTTGCACGCGACCTTCGTTATTTGGCTGCACGAAGTAATATAAAAATCAATCTTATCACACCAGGACTAATTGATACCAGTGATCCAAGACAACCAGTTCAACTTCCAAGAATTTTCAAATCATCTCCTAGATCATTGGCAAAAATTATTCAATGGCAATTGCTTGAAAATCGATTTGAAATTACTTGGCCTTTCGTTGAATATTTGCCGGCCTATGCAACTAGTATTTTACCACCTAGGGTTTTGGAATTGGCTACTTATATATTTGGAGTAGTTACCGGGTTCATTACTGGTACTGGTAATGTTGCTTGGACATAAGAAAAAGTTTTGTTTGGTTGAGATGAATTATTATTATTTTTTCATTTATAAAAATATTCACACATATAGATATATGTGTGTGTTTTATTGCTGTTGATTATTAATTAAGAATTTTTACAAATTTTATTGCTTTCTATGATAAATAAATAAATAAAATTTTTTCACCGTAAAGTTTTTTTTGTTATATTCCTAAATAATGAAATAAAAATTATGAACGATCCTTTTTCACTCGATTGCAAATAAATTTATTGGGAACATCATATAATGAATAACCAGTTATTTTAAACCTTCCCAGATATTTTTATATTGTGTTACGAATTGACTGGTGTTGTAACGAGAGGCTTAGAACAGACTTGATGCACAGCAACGGCAATGGATCCTGAGGTTTTATAGCAGTACAGTTAATACATTCTATGCTTTGATACGATAATCCTAAGGGATTGTGCAAGCCTAGTGTACCATATACAATACAAGTCTGTGAGGAACTATCTTGAAATTAAAAAAATATCTTTGGATTAGTCACCTGATTGTACTACCTTACATTTTTTTTTAAAGGAGTAATTTTTATTGTCAATGTAATGATAATAGATAACCTTATTATTATCATAATATTTATTATAAATTGCAAAAAAGAAAAAAACTCAATCCATTATTCTCATATATATATGAAATTTCTTTGCCTCTAAAGTATTGTTTTTTTAAAAAATTGCTTATCTTAACCATCAACAGATGTTAAAAGGTATGATGATGATTCATTTGCTCTTTTGGTTTTGATGACACTCTGCACATTCAAAGGAGAACAAGTGGCTTTGTAAGCTATGCCATTTAGTAACAAGATACTTTTTTTGACAATAATAATTGTCGTAATGATTAATGATAAATAAATAAATAAATACACAGCCATTCAAAAAAAATAATTTTTTCTCTCAAGAAAAAAAAACCCCCAACACTGTAATAAATAACAAATAAATTTTATTATCCATGGAATGTATTGAAGATGATGATTGCGAATTTTACAATGACGATGTAATATGTTTAGAAGGAGAATGTGTTTTTAAATGTTCAAGGGACAAAGATTGTTTTCCAGAAGGCAAATGTATATATGAAATATGCAATTGGAATGATAAAAAAACCCCAAATTCACAGTCTTTAGATTCATGGTTGAAAATAGAAGCAGATCCAATAGCAACAACAATTACTGCACCTGTAACTGCTACATCAATTACATCCACCGGCATTACCACATCAGTTAGTAGTATAAATTCAAGTAATAATACTACTACCAATTCTACTAGTGACAGTAATACTAATAATAGTTTGGCGTTGAATGCACCGTTTGCAAAAACAATTTTGGGAATTACTATCAGCGTTCTATTGATCGGTGTAATATTTATTATAATTTGCATTTATAAAAGACGACGAAAAGAAAGTATGCATCGTGGATTAAGACCTTTGAAATTATCACATACAAGAACCAGCAGCAGCAGTAGTTTGGATGGAAGCCGTCGTCGTAGTGGATCAAAAAGTAATATTATAGGTGAAACTACTACTGCCACATCACTATAAAAACTAAATCTACCATTATAACTATTATAATTACAATCGCAATTTACGTCATAACAATTACATTGCTAACAAAAATTGGAGGAAAAAAATACACATGTGAGAAAAATTATGAAGAAGAGGATGATGACGACTAAAGCATTCTTCATTAAAACATGATCGCAAACAATGTTTTTATAAAATATATGTTGTTTTTTTTTGTACATTATTAATTACGTCGAAAATTAAATATTTAATATAAAATGGAAACTAACAAAAACTATTTATAATTATAATTATTCTTTATATTTTTTTATTTTTTTACTATGTAAGATTTATATTCATAGAATTCATTAAAACTTTTGAAAATCACGTCTTCAATTTCTTCCGATTTATTTAAAGTAGATGTGAAATATGGTTTCAATGTTTCTCCAAATTCTTTCAAACAAAAAAAACCATCAATGAAATTTATAATTATTATTTTTAAAAATTTTTTCACTAAACTTCCAATAAATAATTACCTAATGGAAAACCTCAAATACCTTTTCGATTTCATTCCGCAAAAAAATCCACACACACAAAAGGCCCTCCATAAACATACGTTCATTACAAAGTATTTTTGCACGAATGGACCGATTGATTGTAAATTTTATCCATTCACCAGGTTTAGTGACACATAAAATTTTGTAGATGATTAATTAACTTTAATAAAGGCCATGCTTTGTAGCTGTTCACTTTTAAAAATCAAGAAATTCCGCGCCAACAAATGATGAATCTGGTAGGTTTCTGCCATATTCATCAACCAACAGGTCTAATTATGTAGATAATTATTGATTATCTAATTAATAATAAATTAATAATAAAATTACCTGATACCTAATGCACATAAGCGACTATATTGGAATTGACTTTAGACGGGAGCCGAGAATTTTCCTTCCCATGCATGTTCATGAATTATTTCTTCGACTTACATATTTCCCAACGACTAATTTTAAAAAAATAATGATTTTTTGTAAAAAATCACTTGGGTTTTCAATATTTATGTAGAGGGATGTGCTTATTTTTTGTTGTATTTTGCAGTGATTTTAAGTATTAAAGGTGGCTGTGCAATATTAAAGCTGGCTTCTTTTTTACCTTTGCATCATTATTCATATTAATAAAAAGAAAATATATGGCCTCACAAAATAATATGGAAAAACAGTATGTTTAAAAATACTACTAATATTAATAACTGTTTTTCTCAAAGATGTCATAAACTTTTTAGTGTTACATAATATAAAAAAGTATATGTACATATTAAAATTATAATTAATTATTAGAATAATAAAAATCATGTATTTACAAAAAAAAATAATTAAAAAAATAAATATTAAGTAAAAATGGCTCTCTTTCCTAACTCAAATTTATCAATAACTTTATTATTAATATCATAAACTACCCAAATCAATTTATCAGACCAAATTTCAATCAACACGTAATGATGAATTTTTTTAACAATTGAATAAATTTTCCAATCTTCAACTCTCTCATAATCTAATTCGCCACCTGCACCACCAATTATGGTGTAAACAGTACCATCGAATTGACCACGTTGGTAATTATGTTGATGTCCACTTATCACCAAATCAACTTCATATCTTTGAAATAGAGGTACATACCTCTTCCTAACAAAATCACCCCAATATTTTTCTGATTTCTCATTCCAGGATTTTGGATCCCAAAATTCAACAAATGGTGGTATATGTACCACCACAATACGAAACTTGGCCAATTTTGATTCGATTGATGACAACTCTTTTATCAACCATTTATCTTGTAACTCATCATCAATATTACTATCCAATACTATCCAACGTGTATTTGCTATAGTGAATGAATACCATAATTTATTTGTTGTGTAATGGTAATTTAACAATGGATTAAAATCATGGTTACCATGAGCAAAAATCATTGGTGATTTTTGGATTAATTTATAATTGATTAATGGATCAAAAAAATCAGTTTGCCATTGCTGTAAACTATCAAATTTCTGTACAGGATCACCAACATGTAATATAAAGTTAGGTTGATTGTGCAGTATTGATGCTGATTTAACAATTTTATTAAATGTTTTTAAATTATATTGATTATCAGAAAATCCCAATATTTTTATAGGATATATTGATGATAGTGATGACGATGACATGGAAGGTAATGACATGTTGGAAAGTGATGATGATGTTGGTGACGATGGTAATGATAAATTAGGAAATAGGGTAAATGTGCTTGATGCAATAATAATTGGTTTATAATTGATATTGTTTGCGCAATTTCCATTTGGTTGATGAATTATTTCATATTCATATTTACCAATGCTCTTAAATGGTCCAATTAATGACTTGTATAAATAATGTGAACTATCTATTTCTAAAGGTTTTAAAATACTAGAAATATTTAAAAAAATTCTACCATCATTATTAACTTTATTATTATTATTATTGTTATTATTATTATTGTTATTATTATTATTGTTATTATTATTATTATTATTATTATTATTATTATTATTATTATTATTATTATTATTATTATTATTATTATTATTATTATAATTGATATCAATCCCATTAATGCCATCATTAATATCATTATTACCTTTAATTTCATCATTAACTTCTTCATTGTTATTATTATTGTGATCACCATCAATACTATTAATATCAATAGCATCATTATTAGTGCCACTATTGTTATTGATTAGTTGATACCATTTGACTTGTGAATTACAGAATGGACAATTTGTCTCCCAAATTACCATGATATTTTCTGAATCGATGACATATAGAATTGGCTCCTTGCGTAGTGAACAAGGTAGTAATTCATTGTTGTATAAATAATTTTTTAATCTATACTTTGATAATAAAGAGTATAAACTAACAAATGGCAGAATGAAAAAATAAAATATTAAACAGACAACTAACGATATAAGTAATAGGAGAAATAATTGTGATTTTTTAAATTTCTTTATATTACGTATAAATGTTAAATGAACTAGTCTTCTTAGAATGTGTAAAAGTTTTTTTATAAAATTTGGTGATGTTGATGTTGAATTACCAACGCTACTATCAAAATATAATAAATCTAACGGATGATTTTTATGATTTTTTGATGATATTGGATAATAATTTGTAGAAAAAGAATTATTGCTGTTGTTATCACTACTATTACTACTACTATTATGATTATTGTTATTATATAATGCCACCATCACCACCATTTCTAAAATTTAAAGAATTTTTAAAGTTTATAAATTAAATTTGTAATAATATGCAGATCTATGAATCGGTGAATTTTTATTAAAAAAACGTTCAATATTAATTTTAATATTAATATTTTTTTTTTATTTTTTATTAAAATATAAAATTTTCGATCTTCCGAGAAAAAAATTTGTATTCATAACAATAATAATAACAACTGATAGCACATTCTGTAAATATGTCTTCACAACAACAAAATCAACAACAACAGCAGAAAGATTTAGTACCAAGAGATTCCAAATTGATGGAACTGCTTTTAAAAACTGCAGGAGTTGATGAATATGAACCTAAATGTGCTCAACAATTATTAGAATTTGCTCATAGTAAATTATCTTCAATATATATAAGAAGAAGAAAAGAAATTTTTTTGATAGATTAATGTGATATTTAATTAATTGATTTGAACAATTAATTTAATTAGGATATACTGTTGATGTACTTCAGGATGCTTTATCATATGGTGAACATGCTGGCAAAAATGTTATAGATGTAGATGATATTAAGCTTGCCATACATGGTCGTATAAATCATTCATTCACATTTCCACCTAGACAAGAGGTTTAGTATTATTATTATTATTATCATTATCATTATTATTAATTTTTGTTTAATATAAAGAATATTTATATTTATATTTTTTTTTTTTGAAAAAAAAAAGTTTTTAGTTCAACTTGCAAATGAAAGAAATGATGTACCTTTACCACATGTACCAGTAAAATATGGATTAAGATTACCACCAGATAGACATTGTTTAACTTCTGTGAATTTTCAAATTGTTCCAGAGGTTGTTATTATTATTATTATTATTATTATTATTATTATTATTATTATTATATTTACAAACAGTGCAAATTATATATACATATATATTAATAATTATTTCTTTTTTTTTTAAAAAAATTAAAGTCCACTTTTGATAATAATAAAACTAATATTTATAGTAGTGCTAATAGTAATCTTGGTTTAGGGTCATTAAGCATAAATGAATCAATGGAAATTGTTTCACCAACACCACCACTTCAACTACCTTCATCAACACCACCAATTCAGCCACCCTCATCATCGCCAAAAACTGCAGCAGCAAATAATTCAAAAGATTTTAACAATGATAATAATAATAATAACAATAATAGTGATAGTAGCAGTAGCAGTAATAATAAGATATTAGATTCATCTTTAGTAGATGAAGATTATGATATGCCAGAAATAAAATTTCAAGAAGTTGGTTAAAATATTTTTTGATTTGTTTAAATTTAATTAAAATGAATAGTTCTCAAATACAAAACCAAGTAATTTAACATGCTCAGACTACTTTAACAAGAGCAAATAGTGCCTTGATTCAATCAGATGATTCAGATTATTTACAAAATCAATTGATTAATCATTAAAGAACTATAAGTTTGCTGTCCCATTTAATTTATAATGTGACTGAAAGTAGCATTCATTATCAAAATTTTAATTCAGAATTTTAATTTATCGCAGCAAACATATGAACAATTAAATAATAAAATATTTCTATTAACTGACCAAATTGGCCCTGAAATGCTTTTTGTAAGTCCACAACTATCAGGCGGTAGACCAAAATTAGAAGTTTCTGAAAATGCAATAATTTTATTATGTTCAGAAGGATTCTCTTTGGTTGATATTGCCAATATCTTTGGAACAAGAATTACAACATTATATAGAAGATGACATGATCTAAATATTTTAAATATTCTTTCATATAGTGAAATTTCAAACAATGAATCAGATCAAATTATTTTGAATATAAAAGAGTCACAACCATATTCAGGTCAAAATATACTAATGGAGTGCTTTGAAGAGTAGAAGTGTCAGAATAACACATGAACATTTAATAGGAGCATTGAGGAGGGGAATTAATTATCAATTTAACCAATTTGTCAACAATTGGAAACATTTCAGATACTATATATATCCTTGAATTCAATCTCTTTTCCAAAACAATATTTTAAGTGAAATGGATGAATATAATGTGGATATGGATCACCATTAATAAGTGCCCAAGAAAGAGCAATTCCAAAAATTCGATACATTTCATGATAATCTAACATGACAGTATTATGTGACATTATCAAAAAATTAGAGTTGTATGAATCTTCAGTATAAGGCCCTCACAAGCCAGCTCATGAGGAGCTTTAAACCAGTCATACATTGTTTTTCACCATGAAACCATCTAGTAGCATGTGAAAATGTGCAAATAAACTTAAAATTTGTGTGATATGTCATTCCAAGATTCATCCATATACAAGGATTTGCTTTTAATTGAAATCAAAATAAAATTATTTAGAAAGCTTTACAAGAAATGATCAATTTCATTATGTTTTATTGAAAATTATAAAAAATATTTTGCTGATAATTAATCTAAGATAAAAATGAAAAAGTATATTGTGAAAATTCGCAATCAAAATAAACAATAATTAATTATATTACCTTTATAATTTGATAAAATAAAAAAGCTGTCCTTTTTTAAGAACTCAACAAGATTAAATTTATACAAATAATGTTAAAGAAATATGTCAAATATTTCATTGTTTACAAGCAAATTTAATATTAAATTAATAGTATCTACAAGTCAACTTCAAATAATTTTTTTATTTGTATCTTCATCGATTTCCATTTCAATGAAATGGCTCTATTTTTTCGCAATATACCCATTTCTTGAAGTTTGATGCAATTTATTTTTTTACTGAAAATGTGATCCAAGAGGATTGTTAGTTCTTGCTTAGTCCACCTTCTGATCCAATGAACAGGTAATTCTTGTACATCATCCACCAGTACACTTAGCTCACTTCCTTGATCTTCATCATTATCATTGTCACCACCTTCATCATCATCGTTTTCATCGTTGATTATTACTGATTCAAAAATGTTGTCTTCAACTGCTGTTACCACAAAGAATTCGCTTAATTCCACCTCTTCTTCCTGGTTTCCTTTCTGGCTTTCTTCCTCTTCCTCCTCCTGACTTTCTTCTCCTCCTCCTTCCTCCTCCTCTTTTTCATCACTGGAAATCTTGATCTTTTTTCTGTCTTCTTCCTCACCCCTCTTCAACGACTGTAATATTTTAGAAGAAAAATGTAAATAAAAATGTAAAATGAACAAATCAATGATGGCAAACGAAAAGTTAATTGAAGTTTACTTTATTCACATCAGTACTTTCGAGTTTGTTAAAATAAAATGATCAATTTTATATAATCTACTTACAATTGAAGACGAAGACGAAGATGAAGATGATTCTCGAGATTCTTGGGAATGGCTAAGAATTAAATAAAAGAATTCTTAATTTTATTATATAGCAACTAGAGTGACGAGTGGTGGCGATAACCACCACCACCATTCTTACGATAAACAACACTTACGCATGCAAATCTTTATTTATTTGTTCACGATTTCTTTTTTTATTCTCTCTTTTATTGTTTGTCATTTTTATTAATTAATATAAAAAAAGAAAGATAAATGGGCAGTCGTGTTTACAAAATTAGCCTTGGAGCAGTTACAAGATTATTTATTTAAACTTTGTGAGTCAGATGAAATTAGAATTAGAGAGAAGGAACGGAAGGTATTTAAAAATAAAATTTTTAATAAGCTTTCCTAAAAGCAAACGCGAAAAAAATCCATGAAATTGATCGACAATTGGTACACATTACAGTCAGGATTATTACCAAATTTGGAAATCGAATCTAGAAAAATTGGAACTCCTTTGTCGATCAATTCATAT